GAGGGGGAGGGCGAGGAGGAGAAGGAGGTGGAGGAGCAGGAGGAGGAGGGGGGTTTGAAACCACGTAATACCCCACCTTAACCCCGTTGAGCCGCCCCTTGAGTTTCTTCTGTGCGCCATTGTGCGGTGGGAGGGAGGAGACTAGGACGGCCATGGTGATGATGGCCATGGTGATGATGGCGATGGTGATGATGGCGATGGTGATGATGGCCATGGTGATGATGGCCATGGTGATGATGGCAATGGTGATGATGGCGATGGTGATGATGGCGATGGTGATGATGGCGATGGTGATGATGGCGATGGTGATGATGGCGATGGTGATGATGGCCATGGTGATGATGGCCATGGTGATGATGGCCATGGTGATGATGGCCATGGTGATGATGGCCATGGTGATGATGGCCATGGTGATGATGGCCATGGTGATGATGGCCATGGTGATGATGGCGATGGTGATGATGGCGATGGTGATGATGGCGATGGTGATGATGGCGATGGTGATGATGGCGATGGTGATGATGGCAATGGTGATGATGGCCATGGTGATGATGGCCATGGTGATGATGGCCATGGCGATGATGGCAATGGTGATGATGGCAATGGCGATGATGGCCATGGTGATGATGGCCATGGTGATGATGGCAATGGTGATGATGGCGATGGTGATGATGGCGATGGTGATGATGGCGATGGTGATGATGGCGACCGATCACGTGCGTGTATGGCCGCGCCCCCCCGCAGGTGTTTTGCGAGGAGGCCTTCCCGCTGTTGGAACTGAAGGCGGCTGGGGGCCCCGCCACCGCCCCAGCCGCCACCGCCGCCACCGCTGCGGCCGTGAGCGCTCGGGAGCTCCAACCGGGTGTGACCATCTACGTGTACGGCGGGGATGACCAGGTGGGTTTGGGGGGAAGGGGGGAGGGGGCGTGTAGGAGGGGGGCGAGGGGGCGGGCTGGGGGCGAGGGGGCGGTCAAATGGATGGATGGGTGGATGGGTATTGCGGCGGCAGTGGAGACCACAACGCGAGGTTGGGGGAGAGGAGCAAGGCGCAAAGGTACGGGACGTGAGACCCGGCAAAAAAAGCGGTTGGGTTCGTTAGGCGGTTGCGGGTATTATCGGCCCCAAGAGGCATCGCGGCGAGTGTAGTTGAGGAGACAGGCGATTTCCGTACATCCGCCGTACTTTGCAATTGTGATGATCCTCAGTGATCGATGGCACCTCCTTTTTTCCGAAGTTTTTCTTTGGCGAATTTAAATGACGGTTGCGATATTAACCGTTGATATTTGGCGGTTGGTGGTTAACCGTTGCAGGTTTCCCGGTCCATCCGTGAGGGCAAGGGCTGGGAAGCCGATATTCTGCAGGAGATCTTATGGGCCCTATCGCAACCACTGCCGTACCACGTGGTATCATCGAGATTGTCACCAGCAGAGGCGGAAGTGGACGGGGGAGGTGAGGCAGTGGCAGCGCCGTCGGCCCCTGCGGCGGCAGCGGCGGCTGCTCCGCGCCGATCGCTGACAGGAGGCTTACCTGGCGGCACCGCCGCTGGAGTATTCCTTGACAATGCTGTCATACAGCGTCGTACATCTGCTCGCGTGGCTGCGGCGGCGGCACCAGTAGCATTGGCGGCGCTGCACGACGTCGCGTCTTCTGTCCTGGCGGCCACGCCCGCGGGCACGGCGCCCGCGGTTGACAGTGCCGTACCATGGACGGCTGGCGGTGGTGATGTTAGTGGCGGCGGCGGCGACGGCGGTACGGCTCCCCCGCATCTTTTTGTGGATGTGGGCGCCAATGTGGGCTGGTTTGCAATCAGCGTGGCTGCCAAGGTGCGATACACGCCGTGGTCTCCGCCCCCTTAGCTCATCGCGTTACACGGCAGTAGCTTCGACAAAGCATTCTCGCCCCCTTTCTGTCCCGCCCTCCCGCCATACACCCTTCGTTCCATACTTCCCTCCTTCAAGAACGCCTTTTGGTCAGTTCTACGTCTTGTACACTCTTGCCCTGGCAGCAGCTTCACTCGTTCGTGGTTCGTCTTTCCCACCCCCGCCCGGCCCCACCTCTCCTGTACGTCTGCCGCAGCAGTCTTTCCTTGGCATCAGCTTCGCTCGCGCGTGGTTCGTCTCTCCGTCACCTCCCCCACCTCCCCCACCTCCCCCACCTCCCCCACCTCCCCCACCTCCCCCACCTCCCCCACCTCCCCCACCTCCCCCACCCCCCCCTCGCAGGGCTACCGAGTGGCGGCGTTCGAGGGTATGAGCACCAACGTGGGCCTGGTGCGCGCCTCCATATGCGCCAGCCCCGGTCTGGGCGGCCGGTTGCGGCTCTTCCCATTCGGACTGGGAGCGGAGGAGTCCCGGTGCTTTCTGTTCAGCGACATAAATAACCGGGTGAGTGTGTCTACGTGTATGTATGTACATATATGTGCATGTATGTATGTGTGTGCATGTATCTAGGTGTGTGGGTTGCGTGTTCAGGGTGTGCGGCCTGTGTCGTACACGCCTCTTCACCCTTGCGGAGTTATTGAACGACGAAAGAGCGAAAGGGATATAGCGAGGCGTCCGCGTTCCGCCGCGCCTCGCTGTTTCGTACTACTGACAACTGAAACGGCATTCCGCAGGGCGACGGCATCACGTTGTGCGACGCCACGTCAGAGCTGGACGCGGCTGCCAAGGTACCCCCGGGATACGCGCTGCGGGGCCGCATGAAGCTGCGTCGCCTGGACGCTTTCTTCGCACAGCGCTCTGAAGACACCATCATCAAGGTGCGTTTGCTTGAAACCTGAAACACGGCTACCGAGAATCCTGGCTATGTGAAACAAGAAGTCGCATGATTTGCTCTCGTACTCGTACCACGGTTTTGCCCTTTCCCCGTACGCTGACTCAACCCAACCATTGCGCGCACTTGCCGTACCTGGATATTCATTGTCGTACTGGGATGTCGTTGTGACAACGCGGTGCGCAGGTTCTCAAGGTCGACGTGGAGGGCTACGAGCCGCACGTGATCGCGGGCATGGGCGATGTTCGGGTGTGGTAAGAGGGAAAAAAGGGGGCAGCAAGGCCACCCTCGGTCCGGCCGATAGGCCATTCCCGAAACTGGTGCTTGCAGCTAATTCCCTGCTGCTGGTTGTTTGTGTGTAAATACGCGCACACGCACGCACGCACGCACGCACACACGCACGCACACACGCACTCACGTACTCACGCACTCACGTACTCACGCAGGTACATCGCCTTGGAGTTCAATCCCGTGCTACTTTCCGGCGTGAACCGCGGCTACCCGCCAGCACAGGTGAACACAGGCTGCTGCGTCCTGGGGCTTACATTCTGTATGTGCGTGCGCCTGCATTTCTTTGCTGTCATCCTGCCGTACAATGTCGTACCATGCGGTTATAATCTTTGCTACGTGTATCCACCAGATTAGGTGTCATCTAGTCACTCGACGCTGCACCCCAATCGACCAACACGCCCAACCGTAGTGTTGCCCTTCTTCTCCGCCTTATCCGAACCATTTGAAGTGCTTAACTAACAACGAACTAACGCCTAACCGACAACTGTAAACTGCGTGCAGCTTCTTGAGGATCTGATGGCCAGGCGCTACCGGCTTAGCACCACGGGCTTCAGGGGGCCGTGGCTGTCGGAGGCACACGTGCGGAGGTGCGGAGGGCATGTTGAGGATGGGCGCTAGGGAGGGGCTGAGGACGACCCGTCTAGATGGCGGTGTGATGAGGTTATTATTATTATTATTGTTGTTGTTGTTGTTGTTGTTGTTGTTACAGAGTGGGAGGCTTCTGGGCCACTTGAAAACTCATTACGTGATGTAAAGGCAGGGGCGCTGGAGGGGCTGTGGAAGGCAAGCCTAGAGACTAGAAGCAAGGCGGGAAATGGAGGCGGGATAGAGTCGGGGCATCAGCCGGGGAACGTGCGAGAGGATCTGAGAAAAGGCGCCAGTGCCGTGAAGAGTGCAGTGAAGGCCCCCGGCCTGCTGGCCTATGCATGTGGCTGTTGTGGGGTGGGGCAGGGCCGGCCGGGCTGCTCCGAGGTGGCTGGCGGGGTGAGGTTACCCCTGTCGTAACCCCGGGGTCGGCGGCCGCGGGGATCTCTCCACCTGCGGGGCAATCGTAATGACGGTGCCTCGTAAAAGCCTCTTTTTCTTCTTCTGCTGCTGCTGCTGCTGCTACTGATACTTCTGTCCTCTGATTCGACTTTGCCATTCTCAACACCACACGACCGACGCGATAGGCTGGCTACGGCCAAAGTACCGGTCAGCGTGTACGCAGCCCATGAAGATCTGTTCGTACAGCCCACCGAGCGACTCAGGCTCAGGGGCTGGGCGGGAGCCTGAGGGGAAAAAGCTTGAGGACAGCGGCGACCGCGACTACTGCCCCTCAGCCGCCAGGGCGCCGGCGACATGCGGTTGTGAATTTCGCCTGTGTTTATGTACGGGCGCGACGATGATGACGCGGTACAACCGAGTACGGTTCCAGCAAAGTCTAGGTACCCGAGAAGGTCGAGACATTTACTGCTTAACAGGCAGTCAGGCAGACGGACAGACAGACAGACATCAGACAGACGGATAGACATCGCAATGGATGTGTGACCACAGGTTGGGATTGTGGTAGTGACTGTGGACCTGGCAAAGAACACTTCCCCGCGCCCACATCATTAAATTGGAGGAGGTGCGGACGCCGCCTGGTAATCTCTCTCTTTCGGCAATGGATTGGTGTTCAGCGTGTTCTGCTAGAGCCGTGTGGGACTGAGCTGATGTGCACAATGCACAGCTATATAAAATGTATTTGGGGTGAAGGGTTGCCGCGTGGGCGGAGTCCATGTCTGCATGTGGGGGCCCAGTACAAACCGGCATCGCCTCGGTTTGAGAGTCATGCATGTGTTAGCCAGTACTTGTGTGCGTGGTGTGCACGGGTGCAGAAGAGGGAGTGCTGCTGGTCGGCAGAGGACGACACAGGCATTAAGCAGTGGCGGGGGGGGGCATCATCGTAATGGAAGAGGAAATGGATCCCATGTTGGCGCGCCCGGGGCCGTGCCAACGGGCGTTGCCATGCTCGTGTAGTCGCTCGATGACTCGGCTGCACCTGAAGCCTTGGGCCGAAAGAAAGGTGGCGCAGTCGTCCATCGGCCCTACGGCTACCTGGTGATTTCAGCGTCAGCCAACGGCCTTAATGAGCCGTGGGATGTATTCCAATTCTAAAGTAAGCGGCTGTGGCTTGTGCGATATTTGCCTGACCTGTTGCCAGCGAGCCAAGGAAGGTATCCAAGCAAGCTGTTTTTTTGGTAGAGCGCTGGTGGTTGATGTATTTGAAGCGCCATACAGTGCACGTACATGTCCCGGGGCCAGCTGGGGCCAGTTTGATCAGCTGATGTAGCTATCGTGTTGTCGTACGGCGAATGAATGAGGAAAAAAACCGGGCGTTTCTGATCCAGGATTGGAGTGGTCAAAACTCTCCCTCTCCCAACTCACATTTTCCATACAGCTGTCGGTAAAAGGTACGGCGCGGTACGGCACCGGCGTTAGATCCCTAAAACCCTAAGGAATGCCGTCCAGCGGTTTGAGATATGGGCGTTTGGTGAGGTGGCTTGCTGCCCGCGTCGGTGGGGAACGGTCGAGCACAAAACTTTATATGTACTACAGGCCTTGGTGGTTCACCTCCAGAGTCCCTGTGGTGTCTCTGTTTGCGCACGTGCGTCGAGGTGGTAGAGGTGGAAGAGGTGAAAGAGTGACGCGGAAACGCAAGGGCCGCCCTCCTAGTTTGCGGGGCCTCTAGTGTACATCAGTCATGTCTCCGAAGCCGAATCCAGAGCTGGATGATGCGCAGGGCAGGACGCTTGGAGCGCTAGACACGTGTGCGAATATGCAGAAGGGTCACGTCCCGCCCCGCAGCAATGCACCGTACCCATCTCTCGCATAGCTTCGTGCCGTGATACCACGATGAGGATGTGTGACAGACATTTGAGCCAAACCGTGTATGCACCTTTTCCCCCTCAACCCCCGCGGCTGTCGACCCTCGGCCGGCGCGTCCGTAAACTAGCAGCAGCTCTCACTCCTTCCCTCAGTCCCTCCCCCATTTCGCTGTAGCTAGCTATACGGTGCAGGAACCCCGGCAAGCCACAATCCAAGCTACACACATCCCTTTGAAGCTCTCATCTGCCAGCCCAATATTGCCTCAAGAAAAGCCGCCGCCCGCCGCTTCAAGTCTTATTAAAGTGTATACAGACAGACAGCCGCGGTTGCTGCCGATCATTGTTTGACAGACACATCACTTGGTCATGCACCTGTTTGCTGATAACCCTAAGCATACTTCAAAAGACGAAAGCATTCTAACCTCAGTAAATAACCTCAGCATGTATGATGCACATACACTTTTTTCTAATACCTAAGTGCTGTCCGACTGTTCTAAGAACTGCCCCCCCCCCCAAGTCCATGGGAGGTATTCACCTTCTCGGGCTGCGTTCCGCTAGGGTCATATATGGCCTAAAGAGGCGGGTGTTCTATCCCCAATGTCCCGCAACGAGACCTCCAAAAACGTTTGAGTGACCAGCACTGCTTGCCCACTTCCTCCCAACCAGTCGAGTCACGATCACGCACCCAAACCGGCAGCTGCCTCTGCCTCCGAAAGTCCGATCATCTACGAAGCCTAGGTGCGCGAAACAGTACTCCTCCTCTCCCCCAGCTGTTCACAACTCACGCGGCCGCCTACAAATTAGGTGTTGCTGCTGCTGCTGAGGCTGATGCGGCTGCAGCGGTGCCTACTGCCTGTGCCCCTCCTCCTATCGAAACGGCTACAGCTACAGGAGAAAAGAAGCTATCAAAGCTAGGTATCTATCCACGCTAAGCACAGACGCCGCCAAAAATGTTCAGGTAATTTCAACTTTTCACGGTAAACCCTGTATCAGCAGGGTCAGCAGCAGGGTCAGCAGCAGCAGCAGCAGCAACGGTGCTGCAGGCTGTCCCACCAAGAACCCCACCCAGCCCATCGTGTCCGATCTGATGAAGTAAATTGAATCAAAAGTCAAGAAATGTATAGCAGGTGTGACATGTATCAAGTCCGAGGCAAGTCACGGAAGACGTCAGCAAAACATTCTGTAGTGCAGTAACCAACTGCGCCCCACCACGACAGCGAAAGACCTTAAATCCTCTCCTTCGCTAACCGCCCGCATCATAACGCAAATGGTGTCTCCACCGTCAAAAGACAAGTCCTAGTCAAAGTGCGAGAGACAGAGCGCGCAAATGGCGGGCACTGTTTTTTTTTTGAACCCTCCATTTCCCCCGCCCTGGTCCTTGCTTCACCTGCAACACCCGGACGGCATCTCGTCCTATACTTCACGCGCGTCACGAGGTGCCCTCCAGAGAACGCCACGTCGGACAACACAGGAGAAGCCACGTTGGGGCGTGGGGAAACCTGTACGAACGAATGATGGACCGCCAATGAGCCATGTTGGCAGTTGGCCAGCAAAGCCATCGGCGCGTGAGCCACCTGACGTTCTTCCCATCCCAATCCGTTTCACAGCTTCCAGGTAACCCGCCCCTTTTCCCACTTTCCTCGGCTATCTGCGAACGAGCAGGGCAACCCAAACCTCGGACACGCCCCCTCCGCCACACCCCCTCCCCAGTCTCGGCGAATGTGCTTGGGTTCGCTCGCGTTGGCCTCCGTCCTGGTCTGATCTGGTCGGTCGGGTCGGGGTCATGTCATCCTTTCATGAAGTCACATCGCGCACCACGCCGTATGCGACGGCGGGCGGGGCCAATGCCTATTTCCTCCTCCTCCTCCTCTTCCTCCTCCTCCTCATCATCACCATCATTACCGCAGTGCCTCAGCTTGCACTCGCACCGCATCCAAGCGCCGGGCGACATCCCCGCACTCGGGAACGCCCAGTCTGTGGGCTTCCAGCGCGAACCTGGGTGGATGTGGGGGGGAGAGAGGAAGAAAGAGAGAGAGAGAAAGAGAAACACCGGGGTCAGCGTCAGTGTCAGACGAGGCGGGGATTTCCTTCAACGGCGTCTTGTCGTGCTTGACGGCGTTGGCGATGGAGATAAAACCCCAAGGCATGTACGCACCCCAAGGCATGCTTGTTTGGAAACAAGGATGCAGCAAACTGAGGCAAGTGCCCCGCCGGGTCGCAACCCAGGCTGCAACGGGGCCATCATGTCATGGCCACGTGGTGTCGTAGTGGTGCAGCAGCTTACGAGTGGGTGGTTGGGCTACGGTTCAACGGAGCGGGCGTAAACACGGCTGGTCACAAGGCTAGCCACGGCTGATTCACACGCGTGCACTCTTTTCGTTCCCAGCCCTTCTCTTCCCTGCCCGGCCTCTGGTCCCCCTTCCCCCTAATCTCCGCACCGCACGGCACGCGGTGCCTAGGCTACTCTCCTTCCCAGGCCCCGCTCCTCCCTTGCTCGACATATCGTCCGAGGCCGCCAACCACACCGCCACAACTAAGGGCCCCAAAGAATCTCTTCTACCATCCTATCCCATCACATTGCAAACCACGCATACCGGTCTGCTGCGTCCGCAAGCGCTCCAGCCTCCCGCGCCATGCCCACTGCCGCGGCAGGGGCACCCGGCAGCATCGCAGCCGGTCCTGCCGCGCCTCCGTGCGGCACCACCATGCCCACAGACGCCGTGGACAGCAAATCCGAAAGCGCTGCCGAACACGCAGCCGCCGCCGACCTGCCCAGAAAGCCACATCAAATCCAGATTTTAAACACAGCTTGGAAAGCGAGCGCGTTATAACAACGTGCGCGCGTGTTCACATGCACTGGAATGTTGCGGTGTGTTAAGGTGAGTGCCGCGGACGCACATGCCCTTGGTGATCTAGGGTTTAGGATTTGGATTAGAAAAGGGCCGGAAGGTAAGACCCACCATCCCTCGCGTGTCCCAAAATCATGGCCCCCCATGGCCGCTCAGCAGCCGTATGCCTCACAAACTCTCGGGCACAAGGCCTCGGGCCCCCACCACACCGCATTCGAACTGGGGTAACCTCTCCCTCACCTCAGCAACTGCACCCGCACTCGCACGCTGCTCAGCTGAGCCTCCATAGCGCTGCCACCTCCCACCGCAAGCAGACCGCCCCGCCCGCGGGACAACAGGGCTTCGTACACACGCCGTACAGCAGTGGCGCTGCCCCCCGCGGCGGACTGCAAATGAGAGCCAAGCCGTAGGAACCGCCGTCGCGGATGGCGTGGGGGATTATGCAGCTCAGGCAAGATTAAAAACACGCAAAGGGTTGATCTCGCGCCATCCAGGAGGTGGCTTCACGGACTTTTAACGTGACGGATCGACAGGCCCATTGACACAACCGCTGCGTCAGCACAGCCGCCTCTACTTACTTACCATCAGCGCTGGCACAATGACCTCGCTAGCACGCTCGGCCGCTGAGTCCTGTGCCGCCGCTGCTGCTGCGGCAGCAGCCCCGCCTTCTGCTGCCAACGGCGCCGGCCACAGACCCGCCGCGAGGCTCTCTAGCCGCCATGCCACGTGTACAAGCGGCAACGTCAGCTCGTCCGGGTACAGGGGGGGCCCGAGGGTCGCCACGGCGTCGCATGCGTCCGCGAGGCGCCCGGCAGGCCCGGCTTCGGGGCGCTGGTCATACGCCTGTCCCGTCCATGCATCCAATCAAGAGTTGAGGCGCGGCATCATACGAGCAGGCGCGAAGAAAAAGTGAAGCGAAAGTGCGAAATCTAAGCCGGTCTGAAGATATTTTCCATTATGCCACCCAGTTTTAGAGGCCGCTCATGGCAATAGAATACAGCACGCGCAAATGTTTTCAGAAATCTCCATTTGCCTATTCCAATATCTACAGCTGATAGCATGCCGATTAGCTGACAACACGCGGCACAGATACAGCTACGAAGCACCGAACGAGGGGTATCCGCGCCTGCGGAAAGGCCCTACGCACCCGCAGAAGCTCGTGGTCCCAAAGCGTCCGCACGACAGCGGACGGCTCCGCCGCGCCACCGCTGCCGCCTCCACCCGCAAAACGAATCATTTGCAGGCAGATGTCCCACATGCCGAACGGCTGTGCGTAGGCATTGTACAGCACGGACAACTCCAGGGGCGAGCCGGAGAGCTCCGAAAGGGCCCTATCCACCTCAGCCAGCGCCGCCGCCGGGTCAGCAGCAGCACCGCCTCCGCCGGCACCGTCAACAGAGCCTTGACCACCGGCTGCCGCCGCCGCGGCTGCGCCGCCACCAGCGCGCTGGGCCGCCCCGGTAGACAATCGGATGCGGCGGGTCTTCGCCGCGGCAGATGGGAAAGGGGCGTGGGAAGATTAGTCAAGAAGAGGCAGCTTTAGGGGGCTGGGAGGGACAGCTAGGGAGCTGGGCTGGGCCCGCAGTAGCACAAATACGCTCTTGACGAGTAATATTCCCGGTACCTTTCCCGCCTGTGCTTTCTGCCGCATAGGCACGCCATACACACATCACCCTCACCTGAAAGCGCTCCGCGATGGCAGCCTGGTTCAGGGGGCAAGCGGGAATGGGGCAGGCAAAGGAGGTAGGCAAAGGAGGTAGGGAAAGGCGACTTATCATGCAAAGAGAGGGGCCACATGCGCGCGGCCAAAGGCCCTCGCAAAAACCCTAAGCATAAGTCACCGTTGGAGTCATGCGGGTTGCTACAGGGACCACCTCACAACTGCGCTCGCACTGCAGCCCCCCCGCAACCCGCCACGTCAGACAGAGCCCAACACCTTACTGTCACCCAAGGCAGATCACCAAGCCGGGTCGCTTCCTCCAAGGCGCCGCAGCCGAGCCAGTCCTTACCTCCCTCTGTCCTTGATTTGTCCCCACGCTCTCAATGAGGAAATGGTCGAACGGTCTTTCTCCTTTCGTAAACGATACTTGTCTCCCGCAATTTGCCGGCTGACACTTCCGCCTTCTATAACTGGCCTCATACGCCAACCCCCCCTCCCCCACACCCTCACCTGAAATCCCACCACCTTGGCGTCGCTGTCCAGTCGGGCCACCAGCGCCGAGTCACCCGCGGAGCGAGCATGCAATACCGCAGACTGTGTGAGTGAGTGAGAGAGGGGGGGAAAGGGTCGAGAGGGGTCCAGAGATCGCATGGTCGCATAATAACATGATAAGATAATACCGGGAAGAGAAAATAAGGAAAAGAAAGTAGGGGAATGGAAGCGCACACGTGCCTCTTTGTTCGGCATGTCGTGTGAGTGCTCTCTGGCCAACTGTATATACGGGCCGTCAAGGAGCCTCAGTCACGCAGCCAGTCAGTCAGTGGCTCACATAGGCGCCCGGGGACGGAGAAGTGAGAGGGGAAGGGGGCGGGGTCACTCCGCACCCCTCACGGCGCACGCGAACCAAGCGCAGCTGCGCTCTACACCCTGCAGGCTTGATGGGAATCCCTTTCTGGGAAAGCACCGACCTGCAGCGCGGCAACTCGGGACCTCAACGGCACGGCAAGATCCGCTCCGGGACCAGCCCTCCGGCAGCCCAGCGCGCCATGGACTAGTGCGGCGTCCAGGAACCTGGGAGGGGAAGCAGACAGATGTGGTGGCGGCAGATGTGATAGCGGCAGATGTGATAGCGGCAGATGTGGTGGCGGCAGATGTGATAGCGGCAGATGTGGTGGCGGCAGATGTGGTGGCGGCAGATGTGGTGGCGGCAGATGTGGTGGCGGCAGATGTGATAGCGGCAGATGTGGTGGCGGCAGATGTGATAGCGGCAGATGTGATAGCGGCAGATGTGATAGCGGCAGATGTGGTGGCGGCAGATGTGATAGCGGCAGATGTGGTGGCGGCAGATGTGGTGGCGGCAGAGGTCGTGCACGCTGGATAACGTACTCACCTACAATGTAGCATTGCGCGCACTGACATTACGAACGCCCCTACCGTGTAATGAGCACCCCTCTTTTGGCGCGTGTGGCGGCCGGTGCTTGTGGTGGCGGCAACAGGAGTCGCATCAGGCGTCGCATGAGCCGGCCGCCTCCCCCTCGCCCCAGAAAACGTCTCGCGCACGCACGTGCAATGCATGCAGCAGCAATCGCGAACACAACAGACCCACCTGCCCTTCCCCACGAGCATGCGGCACAGCAGCTCCAGAAGCGCCACCTGCGCCCCCGTCAGGGGCCCGATAGGCACACCGCCGCTGAGCGCCGCGGCGGCCGCTGTGGCGGTGGCAGCCGCCGCGGCGGCCGGCTCCATGCCGCTGCCGGGCGGCACCAGGCCACCCTCCCTGCAACCGCCGCATGGTTGAGGACCGCACGAACAAACCCATGTGAGAGAACAAGGGCTACAAACGAATTCGGAGCCGTGTCCCCAACCCTAGTCTGTCTAGAAATACAGTTGGCTTCTCACATCCCCATGTGGCGGCTGAGATCAAACCAGGCGTGTCTCCTAAACGCGGGCGGGACGATCAGGTGCTCTCGCCCAGATCAACCACCCAGTAATTGCAACTCAAACCACCAAACCACTCACCGGGCCAGGTAGCTCTCTAGCCCCGGTGCATCACGGGACAGCAGCTCGTCCGCTGCACCGCACGTGCCGATCAGGAAGCCATACAGCTCGTCCAAGAAGAAGACGTCCGTGGAAGCCAGGGCGGTCTGGAGAAAGTGCGGGTGCGCAAGATGCACCACAAAGGTGTGGGGAGGCTAAGCGAGGCGAGATAGATGGTAGGTGCCATAGATGGTAGGTTGATATAGAAAATGTAGATATGAGGTGTAGATATGAGGTGTAGGTATGAGGTTAAGTGATTCGAAGCAAGGGTGGATTGTGCCGACAAGTGAGGTCCGCCATGGAGCATGTGGCCGTGAAAGTTGGGGGGTTAGGCGGTAGCACAAGTTCCCCCTGTAGTAATTTGGTTTCAGAGCTCAGCTTATAGGGGTCAAAGTGCTGAGTATCTCAAGTCATAGGTGGAGGAAAACCTCCCTCCCACCTGCCCTCAGGTTCCTCCTCCTATGCTGCACGGCAACAAGGTCGCGCACCTTGAGCAACGCCGACTTGAAGGCCGTACGCTCCGCAGCGCTCAGCGCCGCCGCGCCGCCTCCGCCGCCGCCCCCACCGTCGACTACAATGAGGGCCCGCAGGGCCCCCAGCACGTGGCCATACGCCTCCCGCCGCCGCTGCCGAGCCACCTCGCAGGCCGGCCCAAGCTCGGGCCGCATTGCCAAACCTTCGGGGTCCCGGGCCGCAGCCGCAGCAAGCGCCACCGTCACGATGCCCTACAAGTACCAGCGGCGGCGGCGGCGGCGGCGGCAGCACAAGCCGTACCGCAAGACGAGCAGGTATAAGAACCGCGAAGAACAGAAACACCCAGGATAAAAGTAACAGGTGTGCAGCAGCTGACAGCAGCCCAGCAGGGACAGTAATCAAAACAGCCACAACAAAGACCCTCATACCCACAACAGTAACATAAGGCAGCTACTGAGGAAAGATGAAGAGCAGCTGAGCAGGAAACACAATACCGCGGAGCTGCAGCACCACCCGCGGTTGCGGAAAGATGAACCGCAGCTGCATGACAGAGCGAGCAAGTAGTCCCACCCACCCACACTTCCCAGAGGGCTTGGTGTTTTAGCTCTCCCCCTCTGCTTTCACCTAGCATCTCACGCACAGGAGAGCTATCCCGCTCCATGGCACATTCAAAATTCCCAGGTCCATTAGTCCAACCGCCAACTTCCAACCGCCATACCCACCTCGTAGTACTTGAGGTTAGCCAGCTGACTGGTGAGCATCTCCAGGGAAACGACCAAAGGCACACGCACCAGCATGGAGACCGCCTGCAGTTGGACCAAGACAAGACATCAGACAAGGTCTAACAACCGGGGTAAGAGAGGCCGCAATGGAGACTAAAACCATGTATTTGTGCTAGAAGGAGCGACCAAGAGCCTTCCTCTCGCGCATAGGGACACCCACTAAAATACTTTTTTTTTAAATTGAAAGCAAGCGCCTTGTGTTGGCAGGCACACGAAGGTCTGCTAGCACGTTCACATCCATGATCTTGTCTGCTTGACGAGGGCCCAACCGCTTACCCACCTGCTTGACTGTGGCCTCCCGCTCGGGGCCCGGCGGCGCCGCCTCGGCCGCCTTGAGCAGCGCACTCGCCTGGGCAGGAATGTATTTTACAAGCAAAGGGATAGACGAGGTTTATGATGATGATGCGTAAGTCGCAAAGGCAGTGTCGACCGCGGCGTGATCACGTGTGACGTGTCGTTACCGCTGCGGCATTAGCGCGCATCCATGGAGTGAGCGCCGAGACGCGGAGGAAGCTAGGCTTCCCTGCGACTATTACACTCAGCGAGAGCACGCAGACGAGCGTCACGCTTTACTGAATTGAGCTGTGAGGAGGAACGCGGTGCCGGGACGCGGTGCACATAGCAGGTTGCGGAGGAAAGGAGTTCATCGTCTTAGGCTCCCTGCGGCTGCCCACATCACAGCGCCTTGTCACCTGGTAATATGTCCGGTCCTCCTGGCGGAAGTACGACGGCGCCGCCGCCTGCAGCGCCGCCGCCACCGCCTCGGCACCGGCGGCGCCGCTGGCTGCCAGCCCCACCCCCGACGCTGCCACCAGCACCGCTGAGCCCGCCGCCGCGGCTGCCCCCGTGCCCGCCATCCCAACCTCCAGCTGCTCGTTCACCAAGCCGCTGATGAGGCGCGCCGCCATGGCCTCGCCCTCCGCGTCCTGGGCTAAGCTGCGCAGAGTCTGCGATTGTAATGGAAGCCACCACCAAGCTTTAGGTTAGGAAAACGAAATCGCGCGTTGCTCTGCCATTGTGAGGGGAGGTTTTAGGGTTTTAAAACCCTAAAACCCACATCAATATACCGCATGACCACATACAAGCTGGGGACCATGAGTGAAAAGTTGCGCTATCCTCGGCCATTTGCGCCTCGGAGCATCCACCAGTCCTCTGAACTGAAGGAGAACTTAGGGTTTTAGGGTTTTAGGGTTTAAGGAGAACTCCCCCAATCCCCCAGGCCTCCAAACATTCTCTGTTTCAAATTCCAGTGTTTGGGACTCAAGAGTCCAAGACTGCTTCACCTGCACCCACCCACCATGTTGGCCAGCTTGGCCATATCCACCGCGCCGCTGCCCAGCTGCCGAAGCGCCAGGCGCCCCAGGTTGTGCGCGGAAAGCAGCCGCAGCAGCGAGCACGCCTCAGCCACACGGAGAACCAGGCCCCTAGGCGCGGGCAGCGAACGCAACCGAAACCAGCAACAGAAGCGAAGGTCACACGTAATGCAGCCAGGCAGGCAGGAGACTGACGACTGCCACGTACAGTCTGGTATTATCGCGACGACTCGCAGAGGGATACAGAGCACGCCGGCAGGGCTCATGCGGCTGGAACCCCGGAGCGCGCATCTCTACCTAGTAATGGAATAAAACAAGGATTGAAGGACTCCCCCACACCTGATGCGCTGCGCCATTTCGTCCTCCTGCTGTGCCGCATGCTCCAGCCGCCGCCGCTTGTGGATCAGCACCGTAGGGTCGTCGGCTCCTGTGCCCGCGCCGTACCCAAAGGCACCGCTGCCGCCAACGGCCATGCCTCCAACACCTGGCACTGTCCCGCCAAACATCATCGGCTGGGCACCTCCGGCGCCACCGCCGGCGGCGCCGCCGGCGCCGTACGGCGCTGCCGATGTAACGGCGGCGGCTGTCCTGGCAGCGTAGCCCTTTTGCTGACGCTTTGCGATGGAGGCCTCCAGGAAGGCGGCCAGGCCCTGAAGGCGCTCCTCCAGAGCCTACACGCACGTGAGGGGCGCTCCGCATGTTTCCGTTAGCGTCGTTCGTTACAGGTCGTTACAAGTTACAGGTCCCTACAATCTCTGTCCTGATACCTCTGTTAGGTGCGTGTAATACACAGTGCCGTGCAACGTCACATCACGGGATTAGCCCCCTATGTGTCTACATCATTCGAGAACACCACAACATCACGGTCTGCAAAAAAATACCTCACCTCCAGAGTCTGGTTACTAAAGCGGCACGTGAGGACCCGCCCCGCGGCGGCGCCGTTGGTAGAGCCGTTCCCGGTCGCCGGCCCCTTGCCGCCTAGCGCCATGGCTATCTTCTTATCGTACACGGGCGCCAGCAGGCGATTGACGTACAGACAAAGCCCGCGATGGCCCGCGCTCCAGGAAGGTCCAGGGTTGGGATCAACGGCACGACCCATGTACATGCCGTTGCCTCCGCCCCCCATGCTTCCAACGTTAGCACCGCCCTGAGGGTAAGCTGGATAATCAAGATGACGTGGCGTAAAAACGGGCGGGCAACAGCAGGAACGAAACGCTGCATGAGGAGAGAAGGCAAGAATGCTAAAGAGTAGGGAAACACTTTCCAGGCATGTATTTCAAAGGGTAACGCGGAGCGGGCGGTGAGGGTATTTATAATGAAGGATCCCAGGCCAGAAGACGGGGGAAGAGGCCACATCTTTTGTTCCATGCACCCTCACCTCCGTCCGCCGGGGCCGCGTCCTCAGGCATGCGGGCCTCCCCCACCAGCAGCGGATTATCCAGCGCCGCCGCTGCCGACCGTGCCGCCAGTGCGCTGACCCCGCCGCCGCCTAGCGGCGAGGAGCTCGGAGAGCACCCGATGGCGCGACCCGGCCCCAGCGCCGACGGTCCCCGACCGCCGCCAAGGCCACCGAATCCCGGCCCTAGCGCGCCTGGTGGGCCCGACGTGGCGATTAGATAGCACATGGCCGCCGCCTCCACAGGGCCGTACGCCTGCGTCAAGCGGTTTTATGAGGGTCGGAGGGTTTTTCAATGTGATTTATTGCATCACGCTCTTGCGTCAGGAAGGCATGTCTAGAAGCCTTGCCATGGATGGATATTGAGGCCGCAGGTCGCAAGCTTGCCAAGCAAAGGGTAAGGGGTTCCTTAGTGGTGCACGTGTGGGGACTTTCCTTGGTGAACAAAAACCAAAAACAATGTGCGAGGCTTTAGGGTTCAGCCAGCTAGCAACAGCAAGCAGGTCGCGGTGCCGGCGCAGAAAGCCCTCACTGCGGAGGACAGCGGGGTGGCTGCAGCGCGGGTTTACATAATTTGAGCCGCAAGCAGCGACCGGCGAGGATGGCACACGAGTGACTTTACACTACTACAAATCAACGAGGTTACTGCAACACCAGCTTCCCTTCAGAAAGGCAGCGCGGGCACTCCTCGAATCCGGTCGATTTCCCGTCCCGCATTACTGGCACGAGCGCCTCAGTTGCACATTTACCCTCTGACGCAGCCGGCGGGTAAGGCGCTCACCTGGAAGAAGGAACGGAGCTGCTCCTGGGAATTGCGCTCCAGGATTTGCTGTGCACACCGACGGGACGCAGCGGGAACCGGAATGGTGGCTTTCGCGTTATGAATTGCCAAACAAAACAGGCAAAGGTGAGGAGCTGGCGCCCGTGCAGAAGCTCGGGTCGATGGGCATCAGCTCGAGGAGGTCGAGGCGGCGCGACGGGATCCACAACGACAACAGCGATTAGGCAGCTGGACGGCGCCACGGCGCCCAAAAAGCCCGGTGTGTGATGAGGTCGCGTGTGTATTGCGTCTAGTAAAGCAACGGACGAAGGACTCAGGCACAGCACGCAGCACGCCTTGCGAACATCCAAAGTGATTCATCATTCATCGCCCTAGTGCGAAATCAGGTGGTCGAAGGCTGCTCACCGAATGATCCCCCCCACCCATGCGGAGGCTGTCCTCAGCTTACCATGAGCAACTCAACGGGTCGGCGTTTCTCCAGCTCCACCACGCCCGCAGTGCCAATCAGCGCGAACCGCGGCGGCGGCCACCAAACCGCCGAGACCAGCTCGTCGCTGCTGGGGCCGGCACGTGCAGACAGCGCGTCAGGTCCCAGCACCGGCCGGCAGGGCGCCGCCTCCACTGCGCAGGTCTCCCCTGTATGAACCGCATGGACGAGGTTTTGGGATGGCTAAGGCCAAACACTGAGCCCAAACACCCAAAGCTTCAACTCAACCAGCGCGAGAGAAATGCTGTGTAAAAAGTACTTCACGATTTACAACGCACTAGCCGCAGGGAAGGAAGGTTCCAGGTACGGCAAGCGTCTTTGCTTTCCTCCAGGTCAAAAAACGAAGCGGCAAATCTTATGTTTTTTCTTGCATCTCCTTGTGCCATTCTTCAGGCTACGGACGGACTTCACAACACAACAGGACAGGACCGTGTGAGAACAAAGTGCGTCGCAATTTGTGCTGGAGCTGGGCGACCCAGAGGCTGGCTCGCTGCAAGCAGTCAATAGATGCTTGTCCATCACGTGGCAGACAAGCATCAGAGGAAAAAACACAGACACGTGATCAGGTTTAGGAAAGGGCAAAGGTATGGTAAGGAATGAGGGAAAACACAACCGCTGGCTCTGACAGGTCACTTGGGACCACTTGGCTCACCCGGCACGAAATTGTCCAGCTCTGTAACGCTCTCGCGCAACCCGCCAACAACGTAGCCGCCATAGCTGCCATAACCATAAGCGCCGTAACCGCTGCCGGTGTGGGTATTGAGCGTGGCCGGAGGCACGGTAGTGTTGCGCGACGCAGCCAGAAGCTTAGTTGTGCCACCATTGCCGACTCCCTGGCCGCCACCACCGCCACCGCCTCCCGCACCCCCAGCGGATTCTGAGAGCAGCAGGCAGCCCGCCGAGTAATGGGCCGCCACGATCTCAAGCGCAGCCGAGCTGCGCGGAGCAACATGGCACAGGCATAACCACACACACACACACATACAAGGGTGGGTGCCAAATCGGAGTACAGGCTCTTAACGGTTTCCGTCCTGCCACGCAGCACTCCAAGAAGGCCAACAGGGTAGACCAGGGGTCAATGGCATCAACCAACAGAGGGAAGATCAAACCAGCAGGGCAGTTAGTCTTCCCGCGGCCAGCAAAGCAGGTACTTCACCGTGTACCGCGGCTCTCCTGCACAGCCTGGCCCATCACAACACAAATGAGCATCTGGCGGAACACGGGTTCAATGAAAGGGTATTCCATTTATCATATAAAGACCTAGGAATTGATCTGATTCCCGGAGGTCCTATCATAAAACGGTTAGTTTTCGTGCACTTTTCGTGCTTCTGAGGCAAGGAGTGTAGGTATTCCATCAACAATTGGATAAGCAAAACCATCTTTTTTTACAATACGCACACAATAGCCATTCACCCAAGAACACCATTGCTCCGCCCTCTCCATGGCAACCGCTTGGGCGGTAGACATACTGTCAGGAGGCAGTAACATATAAAAACGTAAAGACCCCCACCGTGAAAGATCCGTGGCCGCGCCCCGGGCTACCCCCGAGTGGGGCAGCGCCGCCCGGGCAAACACCGCCGCCAGCGTCTCCGGTCGGCGGGGAAACGGTGGCTCGCTGCTGGCGGCTGCTGTGCCCGTGCCGGCAGCAGCGGCTGCCGCGACGGCGCCAGCGATGCCGGCTGCCTCAGCCGCAAGAGCCCGCTCTGCACTGGCGGAGCCCGCGCGACCGCCGCCGCTGCCGCCGCCGCCGCCACTACCACCACCATACGCGTTGAAGGATCCGTACGAGGAGGGGTGGTGCGTTGTGAAATAGATGCGGCGGCCATCAGCCGTGACCGCCATCAAGTGCAGCTTGGAAGACTCGCTGGTAGCTGCGGCAAAACGTGACACGGCCGGGGGGAGGGTGGGGATGGGGGGAAAGGGCACATGAGCATGTGCAAAAACAACAAGGAATCAAATGCAGACAAAGGTGCGTATGTTGACAGGAGGAAGAAGGGGGAATTCGGACTAAACGAAAGTGCCAAAAGTAATCGAGTAGTGGCACTGTGTACTCAAAGATCAAAGGTTGAGACGTGCAGACACCTCGAGGCAGCAGTCGTGAACGGACTGGCCTAGCCAGGACGGCCGCAAGGGTTGCAGACCCGTGCAGTCCCCCTTGTCTTTTTGAGGTGGGGGACGTCAGGCGTGAGCATGTATTAGACTAAAAGCAAGAATATGCAAGGTAGGGACTGACGCACCGAGCGGCGCAATGTACTTGACGGCTGCGGCTTTGCGGTCCGCGGACGCGCCTCGGAAGAGCTCGCGGCCGCCAGGGGCACCCGCCGCCGCGGCATACACGTTCGACACTTCCGCCACACGGCGCGCCGGCTCGTTGCCGTAGGTGCCCAGATCGAAGACCTGCGAGCATAGAAACCGGTACAGGTACTGGATCGCATGTTGCATGGCTTACAAACCACACGCCGCATGATGCAGATGCGGCCACTCATGACGCGCGCACCACAGATAGCAATGGCCTTGGACGACGAACTAAGGCCGTTCTCGATGTGTGTGCCAGCCCTCATGTACATTCCACTCCCAGACACTACCCACCCAAAAGCTGAAGAAAACATGGGGGAACGCTAAAAATCATATAGCCTGCGCCGGCTCAACAGGCTACACGACCGCATCCATCCGTCCACCGTGTGCTCATCTTCTACAGAACATTTGCATGATACCCCCGCTCGCACACCAGTCGCCATGTCCATATCAAAAAACCCCTTATGTTACACTTCATGACCGCATTGCTAATTTGAATCCATTCTCTTTTGACTGACATGATCCTCAAAGATAATTCCCTAAAGTCGGCAGCCCGCCTGCCTGTGTACCTGGATCCCCGAGGCAACATTCAGGGCGTACAGTATGTGCCGCTCCTTGTCCACCGCAAGGCGCTCGATGGGCGGCGGGGCGCCAAGGCCCAGCAAGGAGGGCACGAAGGAGGGCAGGTATTGCTGAAGACCCGACGTCAGGCGGACCTGGCCACGGACAGGAACGAGCGAGTAGCGGGATTGCGTAATAGCGGGATTGGGCGACAGGTGTTTTAAGGATTGGGCTTCTGGCGTAAGAAAGCCCGATGTCACGGGAAAAAGAAGTCGGCCGGGGGCAGCGACTTGCCTTTCCAGCAACTGACCTGAGACGCGCAGAGGTCAAAAGAACAACACCATCAATCCTGCATTTCTCGTAGTTGGCGGGCGGCAAGCAATGGCCTTGTTCTCGGTGCCTCTAAAGCTCCAGATGTAAGGCTCAGGTCTGGCCTCCGTGAAGATCCCCTCGGCGTCAGATTCAAATATTAGGTTGTTTATCTCCAACAGCGTCCACGCAAAACATGTTGCAAACAAATTCCACCACGCACGTATCGTGTGGTCCCCTTGGCAGGCAGGAGAGGCAACGCAACACCCACTGAGCGACAGCCTTTGGAACTCACTTTGGAAATGCGCTTGTGCCGCCACGTGTCCGCGGCATGGTACGATAGCTCGTACACATGGCCATCGGCGCCGCCAAGGAAGATACGGCCGCAGGGCCCTGCCGTGCAGCACGTGATCACGACGTTGTCGGTTGGGATGCTGTACAAAGGAAGCGGTTGGAGCAGGATATCCTCAGGCACGTCCTCCGCATCCTCCGCTGCGCCTCCGCCGCCGCCGCGGCGGCTGGGACAGACTCCCAGCAGTACAATCTCCGCCGTCGTACACAGTACGATAATGTACCGGATAGCCGGCAGGAAGACACCGGGCCGCGGAACGGCCAGGCCGACGCAAGTGATAGCTTGATCCTCGCCAGAGTATTCCAACGGCACATCGGAACTGTGAAATGCAAAAGTTCAGCGGCAAGTGTGGGGAAGCATTATACTTGGCACCGATAACTTTACACCCACACCAAGAAGACACAACCTGGAAGGCTAAAAGGTCCGTACGCGGGCTATGGTCCATAAAAGAACTGCCTGCAACCCTTGCAAGCCGATGCTTCATGTTCATGTACCACAAAATGTACCGCAAACAGGGAGAGTCCGCTGTGCGATTAAGCAATCCGCGAGCAACGAGACATCCTCTGCCAACCCGCTGTGACCGCATGTGCCCGTTATAGTTCGACGGCTATGAAAGCTTGGGGCAGTAAGCATAGTAGCACCGGCCCAAGGACCATTGCTTTGGATAGCGCCAGACCCCCACTCGATGTGCGTCATGTGCACTACACGACTCAGCCAGCACTCACGCCAGCAGACGCCCCTCCTCTCCGTGCGTTCGTGACCGCTATCCATCCCCTGTACACGTCAACATTTCGCGTCATTCCCCATTTTCCCTCCAATACTCGCAACACCACGACGCACTGCTTAACCTCTGGCGCTGTCAATCATACCTTCGGTCATACCGCCATAGAAAGAGGGAGTCGTCTATCGAAGCCCAGGCCCGCCGGATTTGGGGAAAGAGGCCGCAGAAACACATAGCTTGGCAGCTGTGGTACTTGTCCTGAACCATGGTGGGTAGCTCCAGGACCGCCGGGGACAAGGGACGAAGCAGCGAGGGCCACTGGAGGGCACAGCGGTGATGACCGGGTCCGTTGACCGTGGCCAGTGCCGCGTACGTGGGTTGAACAGGGGTTAAGAAAGGATAGATAGCGCGATGGAGGCTTTAGGGCGTAAGATGAAACAATTATCCGGGAGAAGCACGTGGCAAGTGGCTGTCATCGTCTTCCCAAAGGGTGAGTCTAGCCCCCGGTCCCCTGCAGTTTGCACCATCCCCACAGGAGCCAGCACGAACAGGATGATGACGAGGCAAGTCTGAGACCCAAGGCAGCTGCAAGTCTTACCCCTTGGAAATGCTGCTGATACGTGTCTTCCTTGCTGGTCGATGCCAGGAGATCGTGTAGCTCTGCGTCACGCCTGAACTCCTTGGAAACCTCCGCGACATGACCAAACGTTTTTGAAAGCTGGTCAACGTCCTGAAATTTCCGCGTTGGTACGCTTAATGATTCCTGCGGCGCAGCGCCGCCGCGCGTAACCTCTGCCGCGACGTCTCGCTGCCATGCTGGCGCCGCAGCCATCAAGGAGCACGGCCGAAGGCCTCTGGTAAAGTTTTAAACCAATGACCCTTTGGCGGGTTGAGCGGCCACTGAAAAGGTTGCTGCGTTTTTGATTTGCTTCGGCGGGAGTTCCCGACAGGCAAGCAAAGTAAGCTTCCGTTCCGTTTCCAAGCAATAAAGCTTAAGATTATGGAGTCAAAGCAGTTCAGTCTAGCCTTGTCTTAAAACCAGAAAATGGCGCCACGCTGCGTAGCGATGGCGAAGTGTCATGACAACATAGTAGTTGCGCGTAATTAAAGTAAGGTTGCTATCATTTGGGGCCAGGACCAGAAGTCAGACAAGAATCAACTAACTTTGGCATTCACCGTTCTCGGCGGGTATACCGTTGCCGGTCGGTGCGACAAGCGGACAGCCCGCATTCACGGTTACCTGTTGGCACCCGCCGGATTCAATGTCATTTAGATGATGCGTGAATCAACTTAAAACTTTTCATTTGTGAGGTTGCGCGATGTCCGTGGTGGCCCTGGCCATTCAATGTTGTTGATTGACAGCCCAATCTGAATTGCAACAGTGTAATCGAACAAGTAAAATAGGGATAGCTTCCTCGATGGATTTTATATACGTTACTGGGGAGGGAAAAAGATTGGCGGACCCACGGACCAGGACCAGCCAGCCTAACGGTTACATCTGAATGCAAGGACGCGTTGGCGATGCGCTTATATATCTTAATGCGATGGACCAAACAGACATCGGGTAGGATATTTCTGATTCCCGAGAGGATTGAGGCTACATCCTTTGCATGGCGAGATTGCCACCGCCTTGACACCTTGCCCCGCCCGCCTGCCGCGTATAGGGGCCCCCGGGGTGAACTAACCTCCTAGAGAGGTTTGCCTGACCAGCCTCAGTTAGAGTGAGGCCGGTTACGGCCAGCGACCTTTGCGTGGCCTGGGTCTGCCGAAACGTGTTCTCAGGGTCGCAGCGATGGCAGCCACGTTAGTAGGGTTCTGCTTCTGGGCTCAAGGCACCGACAAGGCTGCCCCTCAAGGGAAAGACCGTCCGGTGATGCAAGGACCCAGGCAAATGGTGCAGGCTGCCTGGGCGGAACTGCGCCACAGCGCGTGCTGAGGTTGGTTGTGAGAGGGCCTTGTTGCCATCGTGCGCTCTTTCATCATCGATTACACGATGTTGAGACACAGGGTTGCGCGCCCTCGGTCGAGCAGGAGGGGACTGTGGCTCCAGCGTCAGGCCCGGGTCGACGTGTAACAGGACACACACACACAGACACACACACAGACACACACAGACACACACACAGACACACACAGAGACACACACACACAGACACACACACAGACACACACAGACACACACACACAGACACACACACAGACACACACACAGACACACACAGACACACACACAGACACACACACAGACACACACACAGACACACACAGACACACACACAGACACACACACAGACACACACAGACACACACAGACACACACAGACACACACAGACACACACAGACACACACAGACACACACAGACACACACAGACACACACAGACACACACAGACACACACAAACACACACAGACACACACAGACACACACAGACACACACAGACACACACAGACACACACAGACACACACAGACACACACAGACACACACAGACACACACACAGACACACACACAGACACACACACACAGACACACACACAGACACACACACAGACACACACAGACACACACAGACACACACACAGACACACACAGACACACACACACAGACACACACGCAAGGATGACGGCAGGGACAGGAGGCTTGAGGTGTCGTAGAACGTCGTGCAACGGATGCGAATGAACATGGGCGATTCATCCAAATCGGAAGGCAAGGCAAAGCTCGGATAATACAGGGTTGTTTATTTAGGAGTAAGGACGGCAACAAACCGCAGCCCATGCTACCAAACTTCCGCCAGCGTGGCACCTAGGTGTTTTACGCTTCGGACTGTCCTAATCCCAGCGCCCAATCTGACCGCCCATTCCGTCATTCCATCATGCAGCTCTGGTCTCCGTGTATGCATGTAGGTATGTAGGTATGCATGTGTCCATCTGTTACTTGACACTGTGTGCACAAGCGCGGAGCGCGGAAGATAACCCACTTTAATGAATCTACCTAAGGAATTCAAATTGACAGATATGTTTATTTACCGCATTGTGACCCAAGGGTCGCTGCAGTACTGAGTGGCCATTTCGGCTACACAGCATCTGCGGTCACCTTCTCGGACCACGGCAAAGCTTTTTTCGCACTTTAGGTAAAACATCGGCCAGTCACCATGCGAATTCATTGCTCACTCCTACCGTGTTGCGTTACAGTAGCTAAGCCGCCAACCGCAAGCACAACTCGGTAGCAAACAACCCGGCTGCGAGATTCCTTCCCAACACCAACCCCCCCATTGTAAAAGTTGCACTAGTGGCCGATAGTGATGACAGTTACCTGTGTTGCGGCGCTAAAGAGCACCCCGCCCAGGACCTAAAGGCCCCGAGAAATGCTGAAGATCCACACGAGGCGACTACTCAAGGCCAGCAGCGACAAAACCAAGGACCGCTGCGTTGTGGCAATCCCAGGACGAAGAACAGACAATCGATGAACTACATAGATGGGTACTCCAAGGATAGAGTAGGATAGAGAGGACAATATGTAAGATGCTGACGGTGGGCGTGGGGGGAGAAAACTAGAGGACACTGTCCCAGCAGCGGGACACACCTCTTGGTGATAGTCAAAACAACGGCAGCTAAAGGAACCAATGCGGCTGTGCGACCCAAGTAGAAGCTTGACGTCCCCTTTGCTGTACCGTGGTCCGGCACATGCATGCATGCATGCATGCATGCGCCCTGCTCCCACGCACCTTCGCAATAACCCCTGCCTATTTCCACACACAGTTATACCTCGCTTCGAGAAATCGAAGCATGTGGCGAAAAGAGTGGGGGGAAACGGGCATTGTGGGACACGTGCCGGGGCCCGACAAGTTTTGCTATGGTTATGGTCACAGCCAGGCATGGAGAGGGTATGCCTTTGTTCTGACGCACGGCATGCATGTAACCTGTGGCCTCGTGCTGTGGTGTGCAGTGCTGTCGTGGAATGTGAGGCACACGCATTGCAGCGACGATTGACGAGTCTGTGTTTTAGGGTCTTGCTAGGGCATGTGGAAGCAGGTATCGGCCATTGACTTAGCTTACGGTGATTGGTAGATTCACGGTCTAGGCCCGCTGTTATGCGTTCTTCGTTGTGGACCTGTTGTACGGCGTGTTACGATGTGTCCAAGGTATTGCGCACTCTGCCAGTCCGTGTTACAATAATCATAAAGCTGTACAAGACATTATGCCCAGGATTTCGTCTATGGCCCTTGTTAGGCCTTGAACTGGAAGGCTGATAGGAAGAGCCACAGCGGTTGCGGTGACCGCCGTACCCGCAATATCTTATTGCCAAACGAGGGGGGTCCTTGTGAAGCAGCTGCCCGCGTTTCCAAAGGCTGTAAGTTGGATGATAGTAAGGTGTGCAAGGACATGTGCTAGGAACGGAATGGGGCCAGGCTGGCGAGGCGAGTGCAGCAGGAGAATGGATTGTGAGGCTTGCATACGAGGCTTACATGGCGTTTGGCGCACGGCAAACTGCAAGTACATTGCAAGATGTCGTTGCGGGCGCAAGTTTGCTAGAAGCACAGGAACCACAACCAGAAGAAGAAGAACAGCAGCACAGCAACAGCGCGCGCACAGGACACGTCGCGTCGTGTCTGTGCAATGAAGGAGGAACAAAGGAGTAGTCCTAGAGTGGCGATCCTTGTTGCGCGCGGATGTCCATGCCACGACAGGCAACATGATGGGTGCTTTGCACGCTGCCAATTTGCTTCCGAGCACTCGAAGAGCGGACATACAAAGCAGCGCAACGGGCCCCCCCGCTATCCCTCAAACCTCACGCAATAGTCCATACCAAGCGCTGCCGTCCGTAAGGGCAGCAGCTGCCGTTCACACACGGGCTAAGGTCGGACATGTATGCACCGTGAACGAAGGCCTAAGGGCGATCGTGCCCAAATGAAACAGCACTGGCGCGAGTTTGCTAGAAGCACAGGAACCACAACCAGAAGACCAAGAACAGCAGCACAGCAACAGCGCGCGCACAGGACACGTGACGTGGTTTCCGTGCTAAGAAGGAGGAATAAAGGAGAAGTGTTAGAGTGAAGATCGATGTGGCCCGTGGATGGCCACGCCAGAACAGTGAACATGATGGGTGTTTTACACGCTGCCAAGTTCCCCCCGAGCACTCGAAGAGCGGACATGCGATGGAGCGCAAGGAGCCCCCCCCTATCCTCAAACCTCAAGCAATAGACCATCCCACGCGCTGCCGTCCGTAAGGGCAGCAGCTTCCGTTCACACACGAGTTAAGGTCGGACAAGTATGCACCGTGAATGACGGCCCAAGGGCGATCGTGCCCTAATGAAACAGCACTGGTCAAGGTCGGGAAGCCTCGCGCTGAATACGCGGGACCCACTCCGTCAAGCGTGAGGCGTGTAGGTGCTGTGAGGGCTAGGCGAGCGTGTCTGGGGCGTCATCGTCATTGTCTTGGACCGTGATGGCGGTGGGCGTGTGTGCGCTGCCTGCGCGTTGCCGCCTCATCGCGTAGAAGGCCGGGCTGGCGGAAGGCGGCCCACACAGCACATGGTAGCCGCCTGGCCCCCGAGCCTTGAACTGCGCGATGTAGAAGGCCTCCATCCGTTGGGCCAGTGCAGGATTGGCGGTGGACATGAGGCGCGTGAGCGAGAAGTGGTCATGGAAGGGTTGGTAGCGGCTGGCGTCCTCCTTCATCCGGCTGGGTGGGTTGCGGGCATGAGCTTGGAAGCGGCGTTGAGGGTCCTGTGACTGGCCGACATACACTCTGCCGGTGGGAGCGCACGTGATGGTATACAGTCACGTGCGGGGGGAGGCACTTGAATCTGGCTCGGCGGGGCTGCTTGCGGCTCGCTTGGCTGGCGTGGTTGTGGTCAGGAGGGCGCCCGACGCTCGCGCCTGCTGCGCGGCCGTCAGCACCGAGCGCGCGAACTCCTGGTCCGTCTTGAGGACGGTGCCCGCGTCCATGCCATAGTCATAAATGAGCTCTATGGCGGTATCTGCTCGCAGGCTGCCGGCAGCCGCGATCCACAATTGCATGACCGCCGCATGCGTCGCGGTCGCACGGTCCGGCATGTCGCCTTCGTGTATTGCTGCCGTGATGTTGTACAAGGACGCTGCAGGTGTTGGGAGGGAGGGAGGGCGGATGTGAGGTTGGCGGGATGTCGGGACGGAAGTGGAGGCATGGAGTGGCGAGGCGTGACAGGAAGGGATGCCGTGGCCACATGGCCGGACAGATGGAGAGCGGGCACGGGGCACGGCAGCCGGTGCAAGCGAGGAATGAGCGGCAAGGCAGCACGACTCACTGCTGGCGGGCTTGGCGTGGTGCTGCTCCAGGAACTCGTCCCTGTACTTTCGGG